GCCTCCCCTGGTGGCACAGCAGTTGAGTACTGGGCTGCGAGGCTGCCCACAGCCTCTGCAGCACCAGTTCAATCCCCAACCGCCAGCGAGGGTCCCTCATGGCACTACAGACCTCTCCTGCCACGCCCGCTGCTCCCCTCAGCAGTGTATTTCGTCAGTCTGCCTGTTCTGTTCCCCGCTCTGGCTCTGGTGAATTCTCTCACCCTCCCGTGCTTCTGACTGTACCCAGGACTTGTATAAAAAAAAAAAATAAATCTTTAAAAAAAAAGAAAGAAAAAAAGATTTATTTATTTATTTATACATGCCTTGGGTACAGTCAGAAGGTTGAAGGGTGAGAGAATTCACCAGAGCCAGAGTGGGGAACAGAATAGGCAGATTGACGAAATACACTGCTGAGGGGAGCAGCCGGCATGGCAGTAGATGTCTGTGTGCCATGTGGGACCTTCAGCAGCGGCTGGGGATCAAACCGCCACTGCAGAGGCTGCAGACAGCTTCACAGCCCAGCACTTAACCACTGCGCCACCAGGGGAGGCCCGCACCTTATCTTTCTTGAACTCCTCTGACATGGAGATGTGAGGGTTAACTAGTGGAAGGCTTACTATCAGAATCAACTGGATATTTGTTAAGCAACTTAACAAAATGCTCCTTGATGACTCTTTCTGATACTTACACAGTGGACCTTTCTTACTTTGCTTCCTCTACAAATGTCCCTTAGCCATTGTGTTATCAACTTTTCTTTTCTCTTTGTCACAGTTGAGCCATTTAACCTTACCCTGAAATAGAGATTGGTTTATTGCTGTATTCTTTACCTTTACCCCTTCTCCTTGTCTCCTCTCGCCCTTGAAAATAAATTGAGGGGGCCTCCCGGATGGCGCAGCGGTTGAGCGCTGGGTTGCGAAGCTGCCCGCGGCCTCTGTGGTGCCGGTTCGATCCCCGGCTGCTCCCCGGCCACCAGAGGAGGGTCCCACATGGCGTGCAGACCTCTCCTGCTGCCCGCTGCTCCCCTCAGCAGTGTACTTCGGTCCTTCTGCCTGCTCTGCTCCCCGCTCTGGCTCTGGTGAATTCTCTCACCCTCCTGCGCTTCTGACTGTACCCTGTGCTTGTATGAATAAATAAATAAATAAATAAATAAATAAATACAGGATCTCTTTAAAAAAAAAAAAATAAAAAAAATAAATTGAGGAAAAGAAGGGAAGTCCCTTCCCCCCAAAAAAGACACTGATATAGTATTATTATCCCAGTAAGAAGGGGCCAAATCTGTTTCCTCGAGTGTATACTGCCTTTTTCTCTCCATCTTCTCAAGAGAAATGCTTCCCAACCCCAGTTCGTCAGTGAATTTAGTTTTATTATTTCCCCCAGACTTTTACCATTATAAAAATGTGTCTTGATCTACTTGAAAGTTCTTCATACCTAATACTTCATTCATATTAATGATGTTATATTTATCCTTAGCCTATTTTTCCTGTAAGTACTGACCAAGTGCAGGTGGGAGGTTGGATTGGCAGAGTTTGGAGATAAGGCCAGAGAATAGTGTCCCTGTGAACATCCCAGTTTAACATCAGTAAGAGATAGTAAACTATATTATACTTTATTTATACTTTAAATTCAAGTTGTTAAAAATTGAGGCATTCTAAATGAAAACAAGTATGAGCTGTCAATATTTAATTTTTTTAAGATTTATTTTTATTTTATTTATGCATATAAGAACAGTGGTATAGGCCAGAGGTGCAGGGAGTGAAAGGATTCACCAGAGACAGAGTGGGGAGCAGAACAGTCAGATCCACTGAAGTACACTGCCTAGGGGAGCAGTGGCCTAGACAGGAGAGGTCTCCTGTGCCATATGGGTTAGCTCCCTGGAGATTGAGCTCATGCTGCAGTGGCTGGTGGTAGCTTGATAGCACTGAGACTTTAACCCCTGCACCACCAGGGAGGCCCTCAATATTTAAATTTAACAATGATTTCTAGTTGCACATTGCACTGAAAGAAGGAAAGCAACCTTTCAGCAACTTCTTGGTATTTCTGTATTATTAAGATTGTTCTCAAAATGGACGTTCCTGTGTTTTTCACATGAGTTAGGAGATGACAAAAGGACAATTTCTAACTTAAATTTTTTATTTTGTCCTATGGGACTTATTAAGTTTCTATCACTGCAGCTTAATTCATGCAGAATTTCTATAACTGAATTTGTGACTGATTTAGCCAATGAATGAGTTGTCCTGAATGTTTTCAAAACATGAAGCCCTTTGGAAATTTTTTTTAAAAGACTAGATGAGAGTCATGTATAACACCAGTAAGCAGAAGGCCAATGTACTGGGAATTTATCCTTTTTCCTTGTGTCTCTATATGACTTTTAATTGGAGTCATTTGGGCATTATTGACCTGTAGTTACCTGCTATTCTTATTGACATTTATCTGCTAATATAGCTTTATAAGAAGTATTAAAAACAACCTTGAATACTGGTTAAGACAATTAAAAAAAATTTTTAGTTTCAAAATAAAAAAGTGCTTCAGTGTAAAAAACTGTTTATGTATGTAGAATAGTAATTCTTGTTTAAGTGTTTTTGCTACAAGTAAAATAATCGAAATTTGCAATAATTTGAAAAATACTTCATTATTGTAAAAGTAATGCAGATTGATTTTTTTTTAAATATAGTTTGTCTTGAGACTTAGACAAGATGTTCAAAGACCATGAGGAACTATTAATTTGTTGACAGACATCCAGGAGTAGAATCAACTTCATGTTAGACCAGTGGCATTGCAGAGTATTATATAGAGAAGTAGGTTTTCCTGCCATGCTGATGATCTCAAAGATTAGAACTATGCCCTTTCTATATTCTGGCTAATAACAGGCCTGTCAGACTTTGAATATTAGATACCAATCAGATGCTAGACCTGCAGTTCATGTAATATGTAGAGTCAGTTATGGAGGTTTTGACTGTAATGTGTTTTCCAATAGTTAGATTATAAGAATTATAGAAATACAAATTTAGAAAACTGTTTAACTAGTTTGGGAAACATAAAATATATTAGTAAAGATGGCATTTTTTAAAATAGTGTTTTATAAGTGTGTGGTTTAGTGCATTTATACTTGTCAGTATACACATACAATTAAAAAGATAACAATTGTTTTTAACCTATTAATAGTAAGAGTTTTTTTTTTTTTTAACCAGCAGATGGAAATCTTCCCTTACCAGAGGGTCATTTGAATTTTCTTCCTTTTTTGATGCTGTTTACCAGCCATTAAATTTAGGTATATGGGAGTTTTAAAAACAATTGCTTTCTTAAATTAGTATTTTAAAGTTATAGTTTAAAAATATGAATAGATGTAAATAAAATATTTACAAGCATCAATGTCATGTTTCCCACAAATACAAAATACATTTTGACTTTTTGAATATCTTTTTTAGGCAGATATTATGCTGGTGTTAATTGAAAGCTAATTTATCAATCCCCAAGCAATGAAAACATAGGAAAGAGAAAGAAAAGGGAAATTTTTCTTAATTTTAAAATTATTAGTCTAATTTTGTTTATATTTTTAAAATTTTATTTTTTGTTTATCTGTGCAGTGAAAGTCAATATAAAAGTTTTAAATAAATGAATTTATTTATAAGATGAATGCCCTTTAGTGAATTTTATTTAGTATGAAATAATGTAGGTAGCAGGCTACACATTTTAAATAGCAAAATAAATTTGTTTGTATTTTGGAACATATGGAACCCTTTGTTTAGTGTGGAAAATGAAACTGAGAGAACCTGCTTCTATTCTCTATACAACTGCTTATTGTCATGTCATATGGAATACATCTTTTGTATCTCTCTGTGCCTCTGGCTTTTCTTCTGTGTATTGGGCTCAAGAGTTTAATTGACAGCCTTCATCCCTTTCAAGAACATTGAGGACAGATACCTTGAAGTCTTTGGAAGACAAAATGCCACCTTGTGTATTTTGTGATACTAACTTCCCTTGTAAGTATGTGCTATATATTGTACATAGTTGTGCAATGTGACAGTGTGAATTTTTATGAGAACAAAAGTTGTTTGCATGTTTTCATTATTAATGTTTTATAGCTTCTGAACTTAATACTCCCCTCTCTCTAGTGCAGTGGGAACTGTCCCTCTGAAAAATCTCATATTCTGTAGTGTTCCTGGGTGGGCTATGGGGAAGTGGAGGTTCTACTTTTGTGGCAGTCTTTTAGAGTTACGCAGAGAAGTTGATGTACAGGTTGGTTAGAAATGTACCTGGATCTGCGGTGTATAGAGGAAGACCTCTTCGGTTTACAATAGACAGAGCCCTCACTTTTGGGTTTTCTTCCACACTTTTATACCATCCTGCATTCTGACTCATGACTTAGAAAGTCAGAACTTTTTGTCTTTAACATAGAGAAGTAATGGTGAGGGGAAAGAATTTCACTTTAAGATTTGGGAGGTGGGAGTTATACCTTACGTGCTGCTGCTGCACTAATTCTCACCTTTTTACTTGTTCTAAACTGTTTTCCATCTCCAAAGAATAAGGATACTTTGTATGGGGAATATAAAAATAAAATTTATTAATTAAAAAAAAAAAGAGTGTTAGGGAGTGAAGAGGGCTGTTCTTGCGTCAAAGCTGGATTCCATACCTTTCTAAAATGGTGATTATGAGAAAATATGAAGCTATTTATAATGGTTAACATGAACACAGTTTAAAGTATAGCTCCTTGTGATTTTCATATTTATATTTGCATGTGGGGTTAATTTTCACTGCCCAAGAACTTTGTTGCATAATTTACAACATCATAGTGAATGTCTGTGGTTCAAAAGCCCTGGGTCCTTTAAAGAGTTTCTAAGTGCTGTTTTATTACATTTTCTGTGGTAAAAATTTTCTTGTAAAGTTTAAAGATAATTTTAAAGTTTGGTTAGCAATTGTCAAGTTTGTTTAATATATTCAGTCTTATTGTAGTAGAGGTTTTTCTCAAGTTTCTAAGATTGTTTTATGTTTTTGTGACATCTTTTGTCATTCTTTTCCAGAGAATTCGGTCAACAGTGGATGAAAAAGAACAAAAACAACTTCTTATGGATTTGGATGTAGTAATGCGGAGTAGTGATTGCCCATACATTGTTCAGTTTTATGGTGCACTCTTCAGAGAGGTAGGAATAAAATATTGTGGTTTTAGCTGACAGATGATTTTATATATATATATATAAGAAATTTGCTCCTTAACTAAGAGTAAAGAGTAGCAGAAATTAATGTATATATAGTAGCAGAAATATATATATATATATGGTTGTCATTTGTGAATCCCATATTTCTGTGTTCATTTAAAATATTTCTGTTATTGGGGCCTCCCTGGTGGCACAGAGGTTAAAGACAGCGCTAACAAGCTATCTCCAACCACTGCAGCACAAGTTCGATCCCTGGCCAGCCAGGAATCAACCCACATGGTGCAGTAGACCTCTCCTGCCTCACTAGCTGTTCCCCTCAGCAGTGTATTTCAGTAGATCCAGTGTTTCAGTCGAGACAGTGTTCTGCTTCCCACTCTGTCTCTGGTGAATCCTCTCACCCACCCCACCCCCACCCCCCGCATCTCTGGCTTACACCCCAGTTCTTGTATGCATAAATAAATAAATATTTTTTTAAAAATGAGGTATTTCTGTTCTTTAAGACCCTAATAATCTAGGTGAATTCTAAATATCAATCCTTTTGGCATAGGTTTAGATTTTATCTCTTTTGAGTTTGAGTTCCTTCTCTGTCCCCTCTCCCCTTTTGAAAAACATTTCTGTCATCAAATGTATCAGCACTAATTGTAATCATTTATTCATCCCCACCCATAATCCTCAATAAAACCTGCCAGACATGGAAATTAACAAATGGAAATCAAAATTCTTTTATCTATTACTGTTACCCAGATTTTGGTGGAGAAACTAGGACTTTAATTTCGTATTCTCGTGATCATATTCCTTCTTTTGTACTCTGATTATTTTTTGTCCTTACATGGGTTGTTTTTTCTGCTCCCAACTGTCAATCCATATACTCTTTCTAGTCATCTAACTGCCTAAAGCAGGAAAGTGGGTGGGGTCGGGGGTAAAGCTGGAGCTGTCAATGAATCAACTACTTTATGGTATCTTCATGGTATCCATCAAACACTTGTGATATTTAGTTAGGTGATTAGAACCTGAACTGAATTCTTAAGTATTTTAAATGCTATTTAAGTTCTATTCTCATTTTGAAAATGTTAGGGTGAGCTAGTAGGGCTTTTAAGAACTGGTAAGAAAGAAATCCCTCCCACCACTCTCGTCTTTTTGAGACTGGATTACAAAGAGTATTGATAAAGTCTTAGAGTTTTTGCTGCAGTTATTGACTTAAAAAACATGATAGTTATTGACTTAAAACATGGTTGAATTTAACTTTAAATAGAAATACATGAAATACTGTTAATCCTCCACCCAATCCTGAACTTTTGTATTTTTGAGCTCTTAATCGGTACTGCTAATTTCTGCTTCATGAAAAAGCTAATTTCTTTGTTGAATCCATAATTATTAATTCTCGACTCATGTTGTTTCTTTTTACTCTTAACTTGTACCATTAACAGTTTGAGTAATTATTTTTAATGACCAGATATATTGAATTTGTTAACTTCACCGTTTCACATCAGTATTGCATTGTATCAGTACACATTTATGACATCATGTATGTGACTGTATCTTGCACCTAAGAATTACATAATGTTCTGTTTGTCTTCGTGTTGCCCAAGAATTTTGCCATCTCCTTCCTTTTTCTCCAAGCCATGGACATACTCTTCATAATCACTGAAGCCTCTGGCCATAACCACTTTACTCTTCTCATGCAGAGCAATAATTGTTTAGGGATTGAACTTGATTTTGTCTAACTAGATTCTCCTGTCATGTTTTCCAAGGTGGTCACTCTCTATCTTAATCCTCTTTCAACTCCACAGTGCTGTACTGTACCAATTTACTTGTCTTGTTTTTGTTTTATTTAGACATTCATTTAAGCAACATTTAAATGTATAGCCCCAGGCTTTATATTGTTGGGAATCTGATTTTATGCTCAGAAGCTAGAGTGACATACATGTTTGAAAAGGTATTAGAACCAAAACAGAAAGCTTGGAATAGTAACTGAACAATATCCTTATGGTTTCTTATCATAAATAGTGGAGTAAAATTTAATTTTATGTCTTAGGAAGCTTGACAGAGTTGAGATAAGTAGCTAAAAACTCTACCATCTAGTGAATGTTTTGTAGTTTTCATATATATTATCTTTATAGTAGCCTCAGAGACCTTGGTGGTATTATCCTTAATTCCAGAAAGGTGACTAAAATTTAGAGTACTAATTTGACTAAAATCACACAGCTAATAAGTGGCATAGATGGGACACCAAAGATAAATATCTTGCTTTTCTATTATACCCTAAATGGTCCAAAGATGAAGATTTTTTTTTTTTTTTGCTTCATTAAGATACCATCAACTTTTAAAATATTTTGATTTTTGAGTATGATAAAGTGAAGACTTAGGGACTTCATATAGTTACAGTGTGTCATAGAGACTGAGTTTGGAGTTTCCGCCCCAAATCTTCTGATGGGAGAAATAATTGATACTTTCTGGGTAATAAAAGGTGAAGTTTTAGAAAAGCAGAAGATTCACCTTTAAAGAATGAGTAGTCAATGTGTGTTTCCTCAAGTTACAATGGCTGAAAAATTGATGATAAGGATTCAGAGAAATGTTTTTCTTTTGCGGTTGATCACTTAAACAAAGAAGGATTTTTTTTGTGGGGAGGGAGCAATGTGGCTTTAGTTCCAATAATAGACATAGAGTTGGGTTTTGAAAGGAAAGACTGTAAATTAATGTAAGGGCAAGAGTTTTCACATTACCATTGCTAGAAGAGAGACAAATGCTTTTAATTCCTGTGCCTGTGAGGAACCCTCCAGAGTATTTCATTTCACATAATTTATGTGACCACAGACTTCAGCTCCTGGTCTGGTTCAATCAGCCATCAATGAAGGAGTTTGTGAGATGTTATTTTTCTTATTCTTGCATCTACCATGTAGCAATTAATCTCACCATTGGGTAATACTGAGCATCTGAAAGTTTCATAAATTTCTCCAGAGCAGGGAGTAAAGAATATTTAACACCCAAGTGGGTAATGTGATTGTTGCCATTGTCTCCAACCGCATGTAGTTCTTTCTAGGCTAGAAGTAAACTCGAATAAAAATCCAAGTGCAACTTGGATTTGATTTGGGTATTAGGACATGTAATTACACAGATTTCTAAATTTATTTTCAGACTTTGTAGAGAGGCAAAAAATATATAGCTTGACACTTGTGAATAATTAAATAACCTTTAGTCAGTAGCTGACAATAAGGCCTGCACCTACCATTTATCTTATATATTGAAACCTAGAGTCACTTAAATGTCTTTTAATCAGTAAATTTTCAGAATTTAATAGCAAGAAATACTTATTTCAAACATCTTTTGAAGTTGGAGAAATTCTGCTATCATAAATACTGTTCTGAATAACTTGTGACTATAGAACTTTATCAGATTGTCTAGAAGGCAGTGATATTATAATAGCTGAATTTAGTTATATTCTCCCTTTCTGTTCCTACTTCTCCTTTCCCCTCCCTTCCCCTCCCTTTGTTAGCTTTAAATATAGCCTAATGAAGAAAAATGGACATACGATAAACTGCATATGTAAAAAGTCATAATTTGATAGGCTTGAACAGATATGTAAACCTGTAGAATTATCACCATATTCAAGTCATGAACATATTGATGACTCATATAAATGTAGATCTGTAATACATAGATTTGGCTTATTTTGCTTGAGTGCTTTGTAGCAATCTAATGATGACTAAATATGTGTTTTTTAATGTTCCTTTAGTAATCTAATGTAGTTTGTTTCTAATTGTTTGCTGTTATAAACAATGAAGTGATCATCCTTTTGTATCTCTCCTTGGCAGTCTAGATTAAAGATATTACAGAGGATATACTTAGAAATGTAATTGCTAGGTGAAATGATGTGGATATCTTCAGATTTAGTGGATGCTGTTGTATTTCTCTCTGTAGTGGTTATACTAACTTGCTTGCCCTCCAGTAGGATTTTGGTGTCTGGAATTGTATTCAGATGCCACTCATAGAGACTGTTAGTGGCTTACTTAGTTTATAGTTTCCAATATTAAGGTAGGCTCAAGATCCCAGGGGGTTCAGCTGTCATGTCCATATGAAGGAAGAGAAGAGGAAAGGACTCAGGGGCTTTCTGGAATCAGCAACTTTAACATCTCATAGGTTGCTCTTCTCCACATGGAAGACTAGGAAATGTAGTTTTAGCTGTGACACCTTGTATATAAAACAGGGGGAGTGTTTTTTTGGCAGGCTGTAAGCATTCATTTCACAGATCTCATTTTTCCTGGCTTGTACTAACATTTGTTTCATATTTGGCCATCAGATGGATTTGAAGTAGTTTCTTACTTTTAAAATTGCATTCCCCTTATTGTAGCAAGGTAGAGAAATTTTCACTTGTGTGTTGAGGTTTTCCTTTCCATTTCCCTTTATCATTTTTCGGTTAAGTTTTATCTTTTTCTAGTTAATTTAACATAGCATTTTATTATTTATGCTGCTAATCCTTTGTTTATATCCAAATAGATGTTTTTGTCTTATTCTTGAACTTTAATATAGTATCCTTTATCATACAGAAATATACATTATAATTAATAGCTCTTATCCATTGTGACTGTATGTTTTCAACAGGAAATTTTTTCTTATCCTGAAGTCTTTAAGAACTCTGATTTAAAGTTTTAAACTTTTGCTTTAAATTAACCCTTTGGGCGTTTTTGTATTTTGTATTTGTGAATGATTTGAGGTTTAATTTAACTTTTTTCTATATGGCTGTCCTCTGATAGTATTCATTGAATAGTCCATTCTTTTGACCGTTTCTTGCTTTGCTACATCATCATACATTAAATTTCCACATGTGCCTGTACTTGTGAATCTGTTCCATTGGTGTATTTACTTTTCCCCATAAATTAGTACCACCATCTTCTATTGAAATGGCTTTATAAAAAGTCTTTGTCTAGTAGGACAGTCCCCTTTCTTTAATTTTGTCCTGACTACTCTTGGCTCCCTTTTCCTGTATTTTAGGATCAGTTTGTCCAACTGCATGATGATTTTAATTAGAATTTAATTGAATTCTTAGGTTAATTTTGGGAAATTTAACATCTTTATGATGCTGAGTCTTTACATTTGTAAACCTGGTTTGCCTCCGTATTTGGAGAGCTTGTTAGGTAACCCTTTTGTAACCTTTTATACAAGCTTTCATAAAAGTTGTGTCTCTTGTTAGATATATTCCTGGGTACTCCGTAGTTTTTATTTCTTTTGTGAGTCGTGACTTTTCAAACATTTAACTCTCTAAGTGGTTATTGTTGGCAATGTAAGGGTATGGATCCTGTCTCTAGGAACCCTTATCTTAGTAGCTCAATTTTTCTTTATCCTCCGCCTTTTCAACAAACTCATATTCAGTAATTTCTACTTTTGTATTTCAGTCATGTGGTTATCCCATCTTTTGCTTGAACATGAAAGTAAAGTTTCTGTCACTGCTTTTTGAGCAAACTCAGACCATTTTTTTTTTTTTCTTTAATGGACCTCATTGTAGTTATCAATTCTCCTTTATAGTTAAAGCACTGCTAGAAGAAATTAGAAGTTGACATTAGCTATATGCCTTAGGGGCTATAAGGATTCACCTTTCTGGAGCTACCAGCTAATTTGTGCCACACCTTCACATTCTCAGTTCTCAGTTTACTTCTTACCTTTGTTAACTTACTCCCATGACTTTCTTTTTCTGTTTGCCTTTCTTCTCATTTTCTAAACTATAGTCTTTGCTACCTGCCATGCACTTTATTTTGTGCTGTATGTATGTTAACTCATTTCATCTTTATCATAGTCCATGAGGATAGTGGGGCAATCCCATGTGATAGATGAGGAATTAAAGATCCCTAAGTTTATATAAGTAGAAAGAAGAGCCTGAATGATAAATCAGACCTTTTAGACTTATCATCATTGATCATTCCACTTTCCTATAGTACTGAAGATAAGTTCCTTCCTTATTATTTTTCTGATTAGATGAATTAAAATTGTTATCTTTTTTTTCTCTATTGAAATATTATCGTAAAACTATTGAGATGGTGTCTTTAGATTGAAATAAATTCAAGTGACGTTTTGGGTGTGAATAGTGTTTGTTATGCAATCTTGTGAGACTCATTTTCCTAGAGAACTCAAAATTGTTTCAGTTAATTTCAGTCATCATACCCTCTTTTCACTCCCTTAAGATATTTCATAGTCCTTGTTCATATGCGAACATATTAGCTGTCATGCTATCAGCTAATATTTTGTGTTTTCTCACATTTACCTTTCATGAGCTACTGTTTTCAAGGTAATTTTAGATTATCCCTTTAATAATGTATCATTCCCTCTCATGGGATCATTCAGTGGTTTTGAGTTTTTGTTTTTGCTTTTTCCTTTTGTAACTTATGTGCAATTTAAGTTAGATGACTATTAGCGAGTATAAACACTTTCTTTTTTTATTGTCAAATTACTGTCAAACTGCTTTAAAACAGTCTATAATGCTGTGAACAGTTTTGAATGATTCAATTTAATTAGAACCAGCATTTATTCATTTAAGGAATGTTCATTGAGCCCCTATCCTATATGTTGTAGGGAAGATACAGTGTATGTCCTGCTAGGAAAGATAGGTGATAAACATAATAAATGAGTACATGATATTTTATATTAGAAGATGGTATACAGAATAGAGTATGGTCTGGGAGTGGTCAGAGCTGGATGGCCTGCCAGTGTTTTAAATAAGTTGGTGGTTAGGGATTACATTTTAAATCATGACATTAAAATCTAATTTAGCCACTGAAACAAGGAGACATTTGAACAAGTCATTAGGTGTTAGGTTTGCTTTATGTATTTTTTTTCTAATTTTTACTAATTTAAGAAGTTTATATAACTAGCTGTCATCTATTTTCTTTGTTAGGGAAAATGAAACAATTTCCCACATATTTTCTATTTTTATGTTCAATTGTGGCAGAATTTGAAATTTTTATAAAAGCACAACAGTTTTCTATATCAGACTGTCCCTGTCCTTAACAGTTAGGAAGGGGGAATATTGGTCAAAATAGTTTATATTTTAAAATGAGGAAACTGTCCTGCCTAAGACTTTAATAAAAGTACCAAAAATTACCACTAGTTGGAGATTTAAAGACAGAATGGAAAAAAAAAGGGGCGGGGGGAATAAGATTGCTTCTTCTCTAAATGAAGGGTGTTACTTAATATTAAGTGCTAAAAAGATAATGGATATTATCTGTTACTTTTTAGGGTGACTGTTGGATCTGTATGGAACTCATGTCTACCTCGTTTGATAAGTTTTACAAATATGTATATAGTGTATTAGATGATGTTATTCCAGAAGAAATTTTAGGAAAAATCACTTTAGCAGTAAGTACCTGCTTTTCAAAATTTTCGTTCCATATATTGTTATATAAAAATCCTGCTGGGGTTTTAAATGTACATAACTGAATGTCCTTCACAGATTGTTGTTGACTTTCTTGGGAAATCATCTGTAATAAGAAAAGAAAATCAGTTCTGTGGGGTAATTGTCATATCACAATAATTATTTTTAAAATAGGGTCTAGATAAATAGTGACAATGTTCTTGTCATTAAATTACAATAAGCCATAAGAAACTGTGCTGCAAATAAAGCTAGAAAAGGCAATTTTCTGTTCTTTTTATCCTCTGTTTGCTTTAACTATTTTTTTTTTATCACAGTTGTCTCTAAATTAATCAGAATCACAGCAGTCTCCTTAATTGAAACTCTTAGACAAAGTATGTTCCTTTGATTTAAGATTTGGTCTGTCTAGTCTAAACTATTTTAATTTTTGAATAGCAGTTTCAGCTTCACTATTAATTTGGACAATTCACTTTTACCATAGTCCCCAAAAGGAAAAGAGGTACTCTTTTGCATGTGTGTTTGTAATTTTGAGGGTGAATTTATCATTTTCTTTCTTGCTCTGAATCTTTAATTATATGACAAAGCTTGTTCACAATTTTTTTTCCAGAAAGCTTTCTTTTTGATAGAGTAAAATTAATAAGATATTTAGAAAGTCCCCAAGAATCTCAGTTAATGATATGACCTGGGTTAGTTAATGTATAAACCAAATGTTATAGGAAATTATAAGATGGGTATTCTGATTGCATGTAATTTCCTATCTCTTTCCTGCATCCTTTACCTCCAAGGTAGTCTACCTGTTAAATTGTCAGTTTATCCTAGTAAGTCACTAAAGATTAATGCTAAAATTATATACAGTCTATGAACTACATCTTAGTTATAGGTGATATATGTGTGTATATAACTGGAATTTAAAGAATCAGATTAAACTTATTCTTAGGATTCATAGGTCTCATATTAGTCTTTTAAGATACTTAGCTAAATTAATGCTCAAGTTTTAATGTCTTATGAGCTAATTAATTTGCTATGAAGATCATACAGTTATAAGTGATAAGTGACTTAAGCCCAGGCAGCTGATCCCAGAGTCCAGCTCTTAACCACTGTACCACAGTCTGACCATGAAATTGGAAAATAGATAAAATTGTTTTATCATTTATAACAACATGTACAATACACAAATAAATCATTTGTTGCATATTTGCCTGTATTTTCAAACTTGGCAATCACCTTTTATATTAAGTATCGCATTTAAAATTGCTCCCTATTAGTCGCTACATGCAAAAGAATGAAGCTTGACCACTACCTCACACCATACACAAAAATCAACTCAAAATGGATTAAAGAACTAGACATAAGACTTGAAACCATAAAATACATAGAAGGAAATATAGGCGAAACACTACGTGATATGCACATCAAAGACATCTTTACAGACACATCACCCAAAGCAGTGATAGTGAAGGCAAAGATCAACAGCTGGGACTACATCAAATTAAAGAGCTTCTGCACAGCACAAGAGACAATAACAAAAACAAAGAGAAACCCCACCGACTGGGAGAACATTTTTGCACATAACACTAATGATAAAGGACTGATCACAAAAATCTGCAAAGAGCTGATGAGACTCAACAACAACAAAGAAAATAATCCTGTCAAAAAATGGTCAGAAGAGGGCCTCCCCGGTGGCACAGCGGTTGAGTGCTGGGTTGTGAAGCTGCTCGCAGCCTTTGCAGCGCCGGTTCGATCCCCGGCTGCTCCCCGGCCACCGGATGAGGGTCCCACATGGCGCGCAGACCTCTCCTGCTGCCTGCTGCTCCCCTCAGCAGTGTACTTCGGTCCTTCTGCCTACTCTGCTCCCCGCTCTGGCTCTGGTGAATTCTCTCACCCTCCTGTGCTTCTGACTGTACCCAGTGCTTGTATAAATAAATAAATAAATCGTTAAAAAAAATGGTCAGAAGAGCTAAAAAGAAACTTCTCTGAAGAGGAAATGCAAATGGCCAACAGGCATATGAAAAAATGTTCAACATCACTTGCAAATCACAACTACCATGGGATACCATCTTACACCAGTGAGATGGCACATATTATAAAAACTAGCAACAACAAATGTTGGCGAGGATGTGGAGAAAAAGGAACTCTCCTGCACTGCTGGTGGGAGTGCAAACTGGTCCAACCACTATGGAGAGCTGTGTGGAGATTTCTGGACCTACTAAACATAGAGCTTCCATGTGATCCAGTAATTCCACTCCTAGGTATTTACCCAAAGGATACAGAAACATCAATTCCAAAGAGCACCTGCACCCCTATGTTTACAGCAGCACTGTTTACAATAGCTAAGCTTTGGAAACAGCCCAAATGCCCAAAAATAGATGACTGGATCAAGAAGACGTGGTACATATACACCATGGAATATTACTCAGCATTCAAAAAAGATAAACACATGCAATTTGCAGCAACATGGATGGCACTGGAAGGGATCATGCTCAGCGAAATAAGCCAGAAAGAAAAAGAAAAATACCAGATGGTCTCACTCATAGCAGAAATGTAGAAAACTTAAATAAGGGACCAGGAAAATGAATAACTATAAGAAAGTGAAAATCAAAATCAACAAAAAACTATGAACCAGAGACACTCTATGGGGGGTGAGGGGTGGGGAGGGGAGGGATTGGGGTCAAAATAAGGGGGTTGCAATTGTATGGGGAATATAAAAATAAAATTTATTAAAAAAAGAATATTTCTGTATTAATCCAATATTATACTTAGATATCAGAGAATAAATATACATACAAAAAAAATAAAATTGCTCCCTATTAAGTTCTTCCTGCTAATTAGTAATCCAGTGAACACACAAACATAACTCTCAGAAACATTACAAGTTGGTGTGTTCTGCATTTGTTACACCCAGTACCTTGATGGCAGAGATTGCACTATTCTGTTGCAAATGATGGCCTGCAACAAATGATTGACCTGTGGTTCAATTCTCTTTTAGTTTGAGGTAATAGAAGTTTACTGTTCCCTCCATTCCTGAAGAAACTTCCGATTTTCTCATCATCAACAGTGATCACACCACAGGATAAATTGCTATAATGGCTGAGCAGAGACATTCCGGCTCTGCAAATATTACTTGGAAGGCCCAGCCCCCAATGTGGGTGAATAATTTTGAGAAACTGAGAATTTTGAAAAATGTGCTAAATTAAGAGTTGATGATGGAATCAGCCCATTGGGATTTCTTAGACCAAATGTTCTTATTCTTGAAAAGTTTGGAGGATAAGAAACTTTTAAATGACTTATTAAACAAATTATGGCACCATATTTTTTAAGCTGTCAGGAAACATCATGTAAAGGCAACTAAGTTTTCAAATCTAAAATCTTCATTCAACATCTTCAGTTAAAGGAAAAACTGGGCAGTATATTGAAACATTAAGGTTAAAAGCACACAGTGACTATATGGGCTTTTACTTATGATAAACTGTTGTTCTGTTTGATTAAAAAGAAACTGTTATCCCATCTCTGCTGTTTTTTTCTCCCTAGACTGTGAAAGCACTAAACCACTTAAAAGAAAACTTGAAAATTATTCACAGAGGTGGGTATGAATTATTTTTTATAGATTAAAAATTAATTTTTCCTTAATAGACTAAACCTACTGAAAATTATAGTCACTGTATAGCCTTCCTGAAATATTTGCATTATTAGCAAAGTTAGTAAATGTACCCTAAAAGTTTTGTTATTTGGGATTCTATATATTTCAGTCTAATTTATTAGTATGTTGCACTTAGAAGTCAAGATGGATTTTGCTGCAAGTTCTCACTGCTCTTAGTTGAAAAGTAATTTATCATTTATCTGATAGGTAATTGAGGTTTTTTTTTAAGATTTATTTTATTTATACAAAAGCTGGGGTACAGGCCAGAGGTGCAGGAGGGTGAGAGGATTCACCAGAGACAGAGTGGGGAGCAGAACAGGGAGACGGACCAAAAGCACTGCTGAGGGGAGCAGTGGGCAAGACAGGAGAGGTCTGCCTCGCCATGTGGGAGTACCCCTGGCTGGCCGGGAATCGAACCGGCGCTGCAGAGGCTGTGGACAGCTTCACAGCGCTGCGCTCAGTCCGCTGTGCCACTGGATAGGCCCAGTAATTGAGGTTTCTTGTGTATCTACAAATAAGATGTGAAGTTGGTTCTGTGGACATTCAAAGAAGAATGTGATGGGTAGCATCCCTGAGCATTTTATTTATTTATTTATTTTTTCTTCTTTACAATTTCTGCAATTTGTGAGACATCTTTTAATTGCTAATGTACATTGAAATTCGTCTCAGGCATGCTTTATTTATGAAAACATTGATCTTGGCCAAAATAGACATGGATTCAAACATTTGATGTAGCTCTCTTGGAAAGCAGTAATACCGCAGGAATCCTGAATTTAATTCAGCAACAACAAATGGATTAAATAATTGCTCTGTTTAACACCATGCCAGACACAGGATAGTGAAGTGGTGGCTTTGAAGAAGCACAGCACCCTCACTAAATTTGTGACAGACAAACACATGACAGTGTGTGATTCAGTCTGGGCAATAAATAGGGCCATGTAAAAGAGAAGTAAAAAATCTTGAATTTTAAGAAGCAGCTTCTAGAGAAATTAGCAAAATAGCATTTAAGTACTTAAACCAGTCCCTGGCAAGGAGCCTAAGACTAAATTAGAAGCTTAGGGGAGTCAGGATGCATTTTTTGGATTCATGAATAAAGCCACTCAGAGGGGGGTGGATACCTCTTGGAGGTTCCACTTAAAGGATGAAGTGGTTAGGGATGGATATTTGAGAACAGTCATTGTATCAATGGGGATAGAGATCTTTTCTGGATTTTTTTGTAGGTCACCTTCTGATTTATTTTGAAATTTTTAATTCATTGAGCCATGATAGTGTATGGGATTCAGGTAGGGCTAGACAACCAGTGAGCAAAGAGGGAGGATTCACCAGACAGCCGATTAGCATACACTAGTAGTGAGTTGATTGTCAGGAAAGGAAAACATGGTAACCCAGAAGACAATTTGGCGAAACTGGAAAATTGGTTTTCTCAGCTTGCAGGAAAGTGTACACACTCTGGGAGTAGTAAAAATGAATCTAATTTCTCAAGGACTGATCTAAGAAAAGGTAAGTTGGGAGAAACTTGATGAAACCAAGTTCATAAAAATCTCTCAAGGAGAAGTAATTAACGATTAAGGGAATGAATTTTGAATGCAAACCATCTTCAGGTATTTTATTCAGATGTTTTAATTTCCACAATCCTGTGAATAGGAGACTTACTGTTTCATTTTGTAGATGAAACAATTGTGATTGCTAAGGGGATGTCCAGTAGCTTGCCCAGAACTGTTGTGAGTCACAGAGCCAGAATATGAACCTTTGCTTTTAGATGCACGATATTGGATAGTCTTCCAAACTTAGATAAGTCTCTACTTTAACTAAATTGTGGGTTTATACTTTGCATTTAGTTGTACAGTTTATGACACATTGTATAATAGGTTAATATGCTCATACGGATAAAATTCATTCTTCATATTTTGACTAAGTAATGAATGTGAAATAGTAAATGTTTATAAGTCTCTTGATGGAAACAAAATATTTTAGAATGCCTAAATTTAGTGTGAAGCATTTTTGATATTTAATTTTTTAAATATTGCCATTCAGAAAATTGCTTTCTCATAACAATAGAGAAAAGCAGAGTTTTCATAATGTATAATATAAAGATGTTAAAGAGAAAAGTCACCCTCTATGTACATTTTATGCATTATTAAGGTGTTGCTGGTAAAATGACTTTTACTATTGTTACATTTATATACATGTAAAATATACATAGTTATATATCTCCACATGTATATATTACATTTACACAACTCTATATAAAAATATATAAAAAGTATAAACTCATTTTTAAAACATGAATAATGATTGTATGTATAAATGGTGCTGTTTTTTCTTGTGCATTTTATATATCTGAATTTTAAGGACTTGTCCATTTTTATTGTCTAAGGTTTTTTTTACATTTTTGCTTTAAGTACTTTAACACATAGATTATTTCATTACTTGATGTGGAATGACATCTACCTTTTGCAGATATCAAACCTTCCAATATTCTTCTGGACAGAAGTGGAAATATTAAACTCTGTGACTTTGGCATCAGTGGACAGCTTGTTGACTCCATTGCCAAGACAAGAGATGCTGGGTGTAGGCCATACATGGCAGTAAGTGTAAAAGCCAAGCCTTCTTGCTTGGCTGTCATTGCACAAAGAGCCTATGCCCTTTGGTGCTGTTCTTCTAAGGAATCTTCCAGTGATCATGCAGTTTCACCATACTAGAATGTTTTTCTCTTCCCTAAAGACCAAGCTCAAGTTCTAGCTGCTCCATGAAACTTTGTGAAATTGTCCCAGTGAATTTCTGTCTTCATTGTCTTACTCTCCTTTTCTTATATGGCATTTATCATTTGTGGTCTTTTTGATTTTTTATTTTTTTCCAACTCTACTAATCTTAGTCTAGATGTTTAATTTGCAGGTTTCTGTGTGTTTCTAGCACTCCATGTTATCTTGACTGGTAGATGATGTTGTAGTAGGTTGATAATGTGTGATAAGCTATTAAACAATGTTATTTCCAGTTTAAGGAGAATCGGAAGGCTTGTGTTCTTAACAAAACTCGATATGTCTTAGAGTGTGAAACTATGTTTTGAATTTTTTTTTTCCCTCTTCAGAGGTGGATGCGCCTGCTGACAAATATCAAGGGAGTGACCTTAGTTAGGTATTTCCTAACCTGAAGCCTCTTCCCCCTTAAGGAGGCTTCCCTACCCTGCCCTCACATATGGTTCTCATCTCACCTCAGTGTATTTGCACATACTGTTCCTACAGTCTGGATTTTGATCTATATCTGGTTGGAAATTTAGCATCTCTATTTTAAGTAATTTCCCAACGGTTGGTGTCTTCCTTAATGTGGCCATGACTCTTGGCAGACCAGCATTCTGTTCTAAATGGTGATAAGTAAGGGTTTGGTCATACATTCTGTTAGAAGTTTCTGTTTCAATATGGACTCTTTTAAGCTATAAAATTTTCTTGGAGTTGAATAAAAATTTTCCTTTTATTTGATACTTTATTTCTTAAGTTATATATTCTCAAGTCAGTACTAAAAGAAACAGAAAAGTAAGAAAAACCCTAGCAATGTAGCATAGCATTTTTATCTTCTTTATAAATGGGCAGGCATAGTGCTACGTAGATTTCACACTTATTTCAAAAACAAATTTATTTTCTGCATTATTTAAAAGTAAATTTTCTATCTTATTTTCTTTTTCTATTTCTCTGTCAATTTACACATAGTGTGATGAATAGTATTACATATGTTCTTTGTACATGTTCATTTGTCTATTAAATTCTAGTCATTGTGATTGAAAAACATTGGATTTAAAAACTTTCAGTTATGACAATATTTTAGAACATTGCGGTTTTCAATATCCTGTTTTTGTTTTGTTATACCTTTTCCTGTCACCATTTTTACAAATGAAAATGTAAGAGGGTGTGTGTTGTGTGTGTGTGTGTGTGTGTGTGTGTGTGTGTAGATGTGGGTGTGTGGTTTGTGTCTGTTGTAATAGAAAAAAAAAAAAACTTTTATTTAAATTTTGGCTTTGTGAATGTTGACTTGCCAAGCAGATTCTTGGGAAATAGAGACAAATGGAACAAGTTTTCAAAAATAAGAAGTTAAAAAAAAATAAGCATGAAGCATCTGGAAAATTGTATAACTACACACTTATTAATGACTTCCTAAGAATTAACTGTGAACTGTTTTCTACATTTTTAGTGCTTGTCTCAGTACTGAAGTTGACTAAGTGTTTCATTATGTATATACATTTATAGTTGTTACATATTCTTTATAAATTCACCTTGTAATAGATATTTAAGGACCTTTGTCTCTTGTAACAATTTTTGACATATGGTTGCCATTGCATTGAGTATCTTCTTCTGTCCTTTCTCTTTCAACCTATTAGTAGTACCTTTGGATCTAAAGTGAATCTCTTATACACATTATGATTAATAGTAGGGTCATGATTTTTAATACATTCCTCTAACCTCTATTTTTTTATTAGCATTTATTCTATTTAAAATGATTACTGATAACTATCTACCATTTGTTCTTTTTGTATGTCCTACTTTTTAGGTTTTCATTTTCTCTGTTGCTGCCTGCTTTAAATTTTTTTGTGTGTTGTGTACTTTTTGATTTTCTTCTCATTCTTCTGAAATTTTAGATTATTTTTAATGATTACAGTGTTCACTACTATTAATATCCTAAATTAATAACAATCTAATTTGAATTATTACCAGCTTAGTTTCATAAACATACAAAATGCTCACATGCAGTTCCACCCCGTGTGTTCTTGTAACTGGTGATACCTGAAACACTATATGCCTAATAACTAGATTTATAATTATTGCATTTTTAAAAATCACATAGGAAATCAAAATCATAATAATAATGGCATTTATATTTACATAATAAGTTACTTGCCAGAATTCATTCTTTTTTTTTTAAGATTTATTTATTTGTTTGTTTGTTTGTTTATACAAGCACTGGGTACAGTCAGAAGTGCGGGAGGGTGAGAGAATTCACCAGAGCCAGAGTGTGGGAACAGAACAGGCAGAAGGACGAAGTAACTGCTGAGGGAGCAGCGGGCGGCAGGAGAGGTCTGCGCGCCATGTGGGACCCTCCTCCAGTGGCCGGGGAGCAGCTGGGGATTGAACTGGCGCTGCAGAGGCTGCGGGCAGCTTCACAACCCAACACTGAACCGCTCCGCCACCGGGAAGGCCCTGAATTCATTCTTTTTATGACTCAGAGTTACTGTCTAGTGTCCTTTCCTTATTCTTTTGACATATTCTTATATTTGTGAATATCTTAATTTCTCCTTCAGTTTTGAAGGACAGTTTTGCTGGATTTGGGATTCTTGATTGCATTTTTT